AAGATGCTGTGTGTAAGCCTCGGCCCGGCTTGAACATCTAAGTACTTCCAAGCTTTGTCTGGAATTTTAGGCCTCACAGAGAGACCTGATCCCATGGCACGCTGTGTTTTGCGCCAGACAAAGCCTTCATTGCAAGGAGAACAAGATGACGAAACCTTTTTGCTCATGCCCTGGCTCCAACCGCGATGGGTTTTGACATCGGACGCACAAGAGCTATGGCCACGTGCCTTCACCTCTTTTGTGCGGTTGAGGTGGGTGCGCTTCCATGTGCTTCTCTCTTGAGGGTGCGTGGCCGTAGCCATGCGGCATCGGGCGGGAGCGTGAAGGGGTGATTCTTGCGCTTCGCATTCGAAGCGGGTCTGTTTGCCTGCGTTTTTCTGTGGTCAGTGCTGGTTGCCCCTGATGCGGTGGGGGTGGGCGCAGCTCGTTTGTCTTGATGGTGGGCCTTTCGTGGGCTTTTGCAGAAAATTCTTTAAGGTTTTGGAATGAAGCCTAAAGATTGCTATAGTGTTTTCCTGACATTTTGGAAGCAAATTCGTCTTTTTTAAAGACTTTCAGATCTTGAACAAGAGGTTTCAAGATCAGAAAAGCAGCGGCAACACCAAATTTTTGTTGAAAAACAACATTTTAAGAAAGTTAAGTGTGAACAAATGTGAAAAAGTGTATGCTCCAGAAAGTGTATACACTTTCCAAAGAGTGTTTGTATGTCCAGCACAAGAGCAAGATTTTACGCTTTCAGACAAGTGCATACATTTTCGTGGAAAGTATATTCTATGCACTTTAGAAGTTGCATACACGACTTATCATGGCTACCGCCAATGCCGCCGACTTGAAGGGGGTAGGGGGTGAGGGGTGGTGTAGTGGCAGCCTTTTGGGCGGTGCATAGGCCTCTCTGTCCCACCCTACCCGGTCCTTTCATGATCCTTTCGAGAGCTGCGGGGGACCATGCAGGGTGTCGGGGGGGGGGTAGCCCGGGGGGTGGAGCCTCTTTAACAGTTTCGATGAAGAAGTGGAAGGACGGACGCCGGCCCCGTCAAAGTGGATACACTTTGGTGCGGAAGTGTACGTGTGCCGAGTACCTTGGAGCTGCTGGAAGTAACATTTAAGCCCCCAGGCCTAGCGAACAAAATCCCTGGAGTGCCCAACCCCAGGTTATATCGCCAGTGCCCAACCCCAGCGTGAGCTCGCAAGTCTTGCCCGCAGGGTGGGGATGTTCGATGTTGTTCGAAACAAAGTAGCTATGAATTGGAATCGTCAGTGCTACTATTTGCTGGTTCTAGTGCTACTGCTCTTGCTACTGCTTCGCAGACAGCATGGCTTTGGCTTCGCGAAGGGTCCTAAAGCGCGCTCCTTTGTTGCGAGAGGTCAGGAACGCAGGCTCTTGTGTTCGAATTCTTCTTGCAGAGAGCTTCGTATTCAAGACTAGATAGCAAAGTTTGTTTAGAAGAAGCCCCCCCCCACCCCGCCGCTTTTCGAAGCCGTGCAAGAAGGAACATCGTGCCATCAATCGACGTCCCTTCATAACCTCAGGAATCCTTTCCACATCCATCCATCATGCGAGCATGTGCGAGCATTGTGTTTGCAAAGGGGAAGGGCTGTTTATCCTGAACCCGCCCCCTCGTTTAATTTAGCCATGCGAACAAAGCCTGTCTGAAATAATATCGCGACGTCACTAGACTTGCCTGCACAACCTCACGAAATTTCATTGTTCTTTTCCAAAAACCTTTCCGTTATGCGAGCATTGAGTTTGCAAACGGCCGCCCAGCGAATGGACCATTGCTGATGTTTCGGACTCACGCGCCTCTGCATGAACGAGGATTGTCTGCCACTCGAAGGCAACGGCAGGAACCGCTTTCCTTGCACAGATTTTCATTTGGAATTCCGGGCAGGTCCAATAAACTACAAAGTTGAGGGGCTGTTGATGCATATGTATATATCTAAGTATATATATATATACATACACATACATTTTTTGTTTTCAGATTTTGTAAATATGCCTGATGCATCCTGTAGCCCGGGTCGGGACCCCCCACCGCACCCTTGAACCCTATACTTGGCCCTAAGGCACGGTCGTAACACCTCACGCCCTGAACCCCGGAAACCTTAAGCCCCAAAACGGAATAACGGCCATCTGAGGCCCGAAACCCTGACCCTAAACCATCCTAAACCCTTAACCCCCAAACCTAAGCCCCGCCCCCCGCCCCCCCCCCCACCGCCACAAAGGGGTCCACAAGCAGGGACGGGTTGTGACATGGTCAAAAAGGGGGCCTCGATGACCCGCAGACCCGCAGACAAGGTCGTAAGCAAGAATTAAGCAACATGAAGCACTCAGGCCTGACGTGCTGAGGAAATCTCCGCTATCCGGATTTATGTTTGGTTTGTTTGTACCCGCGGCTGGCCAGCGGAGGGTGCTCTCGTTTCTGTCAATGACGACAAAGCAGTGGCAGCAAGGTTGGTGCAAGAAGTGCCGTCACAGTGCCTCCGAAAGCAGGCCAGGAGATGGCGGGACGATTGCAGAAGTTGTGGGTGATTCAGTTGATCCGTTGCCGTGTTCACATATGTTAACAGAATGACACAGCGAAGACGATCGAGGGGCAATTGAATTGGTACAGGACGCACGGCAGTGGCTGGCACAGCTGCAGCAACTCATCCATGACATGAATCAAGCGACAGCCTCAGCATTAAAGCCATTGCTGCTATCATGGCTGCCATGATGGCTGCAAATGGCTGCAGCTCCCCGGAGGCTCCCAGTTCTGGCTGTGGTGTCTCCAACATCGCTGAGAAACCCTGGCATGTTATTGCACCAGTCTCGTCCGATTCTCCGCAGTCTGGTCGATTTTACATCATGTCAGCAAGGAGAACTGGCTGTTTTTGCTACACAACATAGCTGACTTTCCTCAAAGACATCTCAGTTTGTATGGCCGGAAAGTCAGGACTCCAAATTGTTCTTCCCGTTCGGGTATCGTTCCCTCAGGGAGCTGTCTTTCTTGGACGCCCAACCCAACGTGCAGTGACGCACGCTCCTAAGGAAATGCAAAAACTCAGTTGAGGAGTAGTTTGCAACATGTCATGATGCGCGCCGATGCGCTTGCAAGAGCTTGGCTTAGACTAATATGTGTGGCCGATTCGGTAGACCTTGCCGCAATGTAGGGAGGTGGGGAAGCCCCGCGACCACACGTCACCACGGGGGGAGGGGCATATGTGCGCTGTGCGGTTTGGCATGCCACCTGAGAAGTGACATGCCAGGCTCATCACCACGAACAAAGAGTTTGTGCGAGGGCGGCAGGCTGCTGCTGCTTACGCGGGCCGTAGATGTTTTGCGAAGATCTTTGAACATCCACCTTGAATGGACAACTCTGACGTTGCGTTTGAAAGACAGGCGGATGCCCACGAAGCTTTCATGTTCATCGTGTCCAGGCTGAGCAGTGGGCTGCACGCCAAGGGCGGTGTAGTGAAAGGCAGGCAAGGTAGGTAAGTGCGCATCCAGAGTATTGGATGTCGAGAAAGCATGAAGACTTAGCAGTCGGGATAGCAAAGCCAAGCCGCCCACTGCACCCTGCATCAATCCTTTGCCAAGCAATAAAGAACCAGGTTTGTGGTTTCAGACTCATCAAGTTCTTGAGACGAGACCTTGTGCCCTTTTGCAAAGGGCCGCCTATTTTTGACCTTAACATTTTTGCGATTTAGACTTGTTTTTGGGGTCTGATTTACGAAGAGGAAGGCTGCAAGGCTGGAAAGAAGGAAAGAAGACAAGCAAACTGCGCAAATACAAGAACAGAGCGAGACAGAAAGCAAAGAATAGCGAAAAACTCCAGGACAGAACTACGCGCACAGATATACCAACCGTATGTTGAGATTGCAGGGGGGGGGGTGCTGCACCCTCCGCTCAACCCCCCAAGCCCTCCACCCCCCTCCACTGCCCCCCGCATTTTGTCAAGCTGTGCGAACTGCATTGGAAAGCCCCGATAGAACAATTGAAGGTGTCAATGCCAGTAGAAGTTACAAAACACCGATCCAATCACTGGGAAATCCCAATACGCAACACACAAACAACATAAGCGAAATCAGTGCGAGCTCTTCAAAACTAAAGGACCTTTCACAAACGCTATTTTTTTGGCGGAATCAGCGGTCTACTGATCTGATTTCAATCGTTTTCGACGTTATTCCATTACTGCCAGACGTTCCGACACCAAAAATCACCAAAATCTATGCGGCAGTTTTTCTTCACGAGAACGCGAGGAGACCGTATGCAGGGATGTTGGTGGCATAAAAACCGTCAGCAGCAGCATGTAAAAGGGCTACGCCATTGCCCCCACTCCCGCATCTGTTCACTGACCTTTGCCACAGTGTGACATGCCAAACAGGCTGTTGGAGGCTTGCATCGCGGTTGGTGATGGTCACACAGATGATGCAGCATCATTTGTGTCCTCGAGTGACTATGCCATACAGGCTTGGTCGGATAGCATGTGTTGGCAAATTTGTAAGCTTCTGTCATTGTCATAGTTGGTGAAGTTTTTTTCGTGGCAGGAATCCTTGGAGCGGAGCAGCTTACTGGGTCATGTATTTGGTATGGATTTGGGGCACAGATCTCAGGACATGTTGATCGGGCAAACTGCGGGAAGGTTGTTCTTGTGTGCAGCAACATTGAGGCAAAGTGTGCGCTGCGGACATTGCACCTACAAGTCTGAGACAGCTCGGGTGGAATATTGCTTATGCTTGAGGCGCTTTTTTGGTTGTGCCGTGCAACGTCTTTGTAAGATGCCTTTGCTGCTTACTGTCAGTTGCACACTTGGACTGGACGATCAAGATCGAGAGTCTCTCCAAAGGCAGCTTGCACAAGCCCTGACAAGCACAGTCGGGAGCTGACCTCTGAAGTTAACAGCTTCCACAGCCGCTCCTACATGTTTGTGCTTGCCATTGGCGAGTGAGGGGTCCCTACAGTAGCTTTGGACACCTATGACTTATATGATTCACTGACATGCAAGTGTGCATAAGCGTGCATGGGCAGTGAGTTGGATTGTCCCCTAGTTGTTCGGCTTAGCACGTTGCAACGCCTTGAGCTTCAAGCAACCATGGCGGCGCTGCAGACGATTCTGCTCAGTGGTTTCGCAGCGTTCGTGGGCTTTGCATGCGGTGAGCCTTTGATTGTTTAGATAACTTGGGCTGTGGGTTAGCATTTTTTCATTTTATTTAAGCGTGTAAACTTCTAACAAAGACAAAGCCTGACTGGATGGCAAGGCTGCTGGCGCCCGTACGCTTCTGCTCAAACGGTCCGAGGCCTGGGTCGTTTAGAGAGAGACGAAACATGACGAAACCGTCCACAAAGTCAGGACTACCAGTAGCAATCAAATGACGTGACCATATACGAGAGAGAGAGAGAGAGAGAGAGACTTTAGGGAAAGTGTTACAGAACAAGGGCCAGCCGGGAGTCTCACAAGATGGAGCAAAGTGGGGTGATCTGATGTCACGAAAGCTCCCCCCTGTGGGAGCTTTGTTCAATACCTCACGAAGTGAGCCTGGGGTTATCGGGGGGGGGTGCGGGGGGGGGGGGGGGGGGGTGGACCAATTTCGGTGGGTTTTTTCGGCTATCCCCGGTCTGGTGCCGGGAAAACCATCGTTGCCAAGGGGGCTTGTTTTGAGCTAGATTTGGGGTTCTTTGGTAGGTGTTTTCCTGAGACGTTCTAAGGAGAAGCGGGGCCCCCCTGATGCTGCTGATGCTGGCCCGGGTGTGGTGCCAAGGGGGCCTGTTTTGGGCTAGATTAGTGGGTGTGGTGCCTGATGCTGCTGATGCTGGCCGTTGCGTGTCATGTGCGACAAGAGAGAGAGCTACTTGAATCACTGGCAAGCTCCGTGTCCCCAGTCCTGGACCTACTAGAGCTTTCGTCCCAGCCCGTGGCTCTCAAGTAGGGTGATCTGATGTAGGAGTAAGTAGGGGGAATCCCCCAGCCTCTGTCTGGAAAGTGTCACATGGACGCTGAGACCAGCCGGGCGCGCCCCGCGCCTGGGGAGGGCGGCTGCACTCAATCAAGAAGAAGAGGAGGAGGAGGAGGAGGAGGAGGAGGAGGACGACTGTTGGGGGCCACCCAGGCGGAAACACAGCGGCCATGAACCACGAGGCAGCTGGGCCAATCGAACCCACAGCCCATCGTCACACTTTCACCTGGACTTGACTCACCTCCTGGCGCGCTTGGTGCGCGGGGGACCCTCCCCCATGCCCTGCAGAAGAAGAAGAAGAGGAGGAAGAAGAAGAAGAATAAGAAGAAGAGAGAGCGAGAGAGCTCTTGCCCGAAATCTCACCCACGGGACGAACTGAGGTACTGGGCGCGCCTGTGCGCGCGGGGGGCCCCCGGGTCCCTCAAGCCCTGTAGAAGAAGAAGAAGAAGAAGAAGAAGAAGAAGAGCTCTTGCGTGCAGGGCTGGTCGGGGCTATCTAAGCATAGCAAAAGAATGAGAGTGTGATCGATCTCCTTCTCCTTGAATATCGACGGCCGCGCGACTGACAGACGAGCCACTTGGCCGCCGTGGCCGGGTTCCTCTTTCGGGAGGGAAATTCGGTGACCATCCGCCGAACGCGAACATCCGGGCTCCCGGCACCGCTCGACCTCCCGGCTTTTGGGCCCGGGCTTCCGAGGCCCCTGACCAGGAGTCCAGGCTCTGCTGTCAAATCCCGCTCCCATCCCTCATTGCTAATCAATTGCCTGCAGGTCGTGCCTACGTGTATCAGGGCTTTGTTTTGGGTTTTAGGGTTTAGGGTTTAGGGTTCAAGGTGTATAGAAGGGAAGCTCGCTGGTGCTAAAAGCACCCGGGCCGCTCGCTTGCGTTAGCATGTAGTCCCACCCCAACCACCCAAACTAGGGTTTACCCGGCTTTCTTGCTTTTTACAGAGAAAGAGCAGGGTGGGGCCTCCTGAACTTTGTGGAGCCTGTCAGTAGCTCGTAGGCTTCTTGGAGCTTTCACGGAGTTAAAATGGAGGGGTGCCCAAAACCCATGTTCAGTACGGGTCTGGGCAAATCCTGGATCGCAGGGCTTCCTGCGGGCTTAGGGCAGCAAGACCGTAGGGGGAAGCAGGGCCCTCGGCCGGCCCCGCTTTTCAAGATCCCCAAAAGGGGCTTCACAAAATGACATCAACGGCGTGGGGTTTGGGGTCCTCATTATACAGGGCTTACGCCCTTGTTTAGGGTTTAGGGTTTACGGTTTAGGGTTTAGGGTTTAGGGGTAAGGGTTTAGGGTTTAGGGTTCAGGGTTCAGGGTTTCGGGTTTAGGGTTTAAGGTTTAGGGTTTAGGGTTAACCTTAACCCCTGAACCCTGAACCCTGAACCCTAAACCCTAAACCCTAAACCCTAAAACCCTAAACCCCAAACCCTAAACCCTAAACCCTAATCTCTTTGGGGCAGTTAGGCCGTTTGAGGCCCCTTTTGACGTCTTGCAAAGATGCCTGGAAGGGCTTATCACGTGCAGACCGATATGCACACAGCGGGGATTCTTGCAGGGTGGCATTACATGCCGTAGTTGCGTTCCCGCGTAAAGTACCCTGGCTGAGCAGTTTGTCGGACATGAGAAAATGCCATCGGCATTTTCCAAGGCCCCCACCCCGAAAAAAAAACTTTTGAAACCCAGAACCACATGAAACCCTAATAACAATTGTTGAACCTTTATCCTAAAACTCGTAAAGCCAAGACTGCTACGGATGCCGCGCTCTCAAGCGTTGTCGGGCTCGGTTATTTCAAAGACAAGCATCTTGTCGTAAACTTGGCGGCAGCTTCCACGTGAGGTCTTAGAGTGCAACTTCACAACATATGAATCCTGTCCAAACCCCATCAGCATTGTGTGTGCAGCTCCCCTGTCAAGCCGTGCGAGCTTGCTTCACAACATGGAATCCTCTCCAACCCCGTCATGAAAATTGACCAAAAAACTCAGAAAACAAAAACAACAACATGCCTGGCAAAGCAAGATCCCTTTACAGGACGCCCCAGCTCCCTTTGGGCTGGGTCATATGTGTTATCAAAGTTTTGTATGTTCGTCTTGGTGAAAACGTAGGTTTTTTCGTTTATAATGGGAAATACACGCAGCACAGCACACTTCAAAACACGACAGCCAAGTCTGTTCACAGCTCAGTCTTGCCTAGATGTCGTCTGAGATCAACGGTTTCTCACTCGTGCAGACATGCGGCGAAATCCGTGCTTCAGAAGAAACCCACAGACCCATCTATTAGGCTTCGGATCATTCCGTGAACACATCACAACAGCCTGTTTTTTTGCAAAACATTTTGTGTAAATTGCATAACAAAGCCAAGAACCTTTGATCTCGGACGACGTCTCGGCAACAATTAAAGATTAAAAGGCTAAGCTGTCGGCTTTGAATTGCGGCGTGTGTTAACCCACCATGCTTCAGCGAATGTCTTGCCGCCCAAAGCAAGCCTGCACGACAAACAGACAATTAAACAGCAGTGGGTTTGTGGGGCCATGCAAACGCAATGCTCGCACGACATGGGGGTTTGGAAAGGATTTGTATGTGTTTAATCGCAGGCGCTTCATGGTTTATCTTTTGTGCAAGATTCAGGATTCGGGCTTAGAACCCTAAACCCAAGCTCGCCCCGCTGAAAAATAGATGAGGAGTTTGTCGGGCGCACGCCCCCCACGGGTGGGCGTAGCCCCATCCGTTTGGGTGTTTGGACAGGTTTCATATGTTGTGAAACAAGCTCGCGCTGCTTAATGGCGGAGGGGTTTGGGGGGCCAGCCCCCCGTTCGCAACCACAATGCTCACATGATGGGGCATATGTTGTGAAGCAAGCTCGTACGGCTTATAAACGTCCCCCTCCCACGTGCAAACATCTTGCTGGCATGACGAAGCTTGGACAGGATGCAAATGTTGTGAAGCTTGCACGCGTAGACCCCCCATCTGCAGGACAAGATTAAATGTTGCGAAGAAGCCTCGCACGGCCTAAAAAAGGGGGGTTGGGAACGGCGCACTCCCTCACCCCTTGTTTGCAAAACCGATGCTGGCATGATGAGGTTTGGACAGGATTCGACAGGATTCATATGTTTTACCAAGCTCTCACGGCTTTAAGACAGCGCTCCCTGCGCGAGAAAACAGGCATACCCCACCCTTGACCCAAATTGCCTTGCCGTGCGTTCCTTGCAGCGGGGATGCCTCGATCTCTTCTTCAGGTTATGTTTGACCGTGCTATCCTTATTTGCCTTGCATACCGACGCTCTTGTTGTGCAGGGTCAGTTCGTGCATGCGTTGGTTGAACAGCAGGCATCTCAGTCACGATGCCAACGAGTGGCCGGAGCTTTGTCGTCATCGGCTTTAGTGATCATCGCATTGGTTGGCCTGCTGTGGTGTTTTATATCACCTCCACCGTTCTCAGTTCCACGCCCGCATCAACATCATAATCATCATCAGCAGGAGTCAAGGATAGTCAAGAAGCCTTCATCTGTCGAGCTCTCAGGTTGAGATTGTGCAGCCTCCCAGCTTTCGCCGCAATGATCCGACCTTGTCCCTGTACCTGGGCCCCATGGCAAAGAAAGACCGTGCATTGACATAGTACGGCAGACGCATAAACTCCATGTGAATTACATGAGGGAACCTGAAAGCATGGCATGTTGAGTGCTGGCGAAGCCGTCATGAGGCATGCAGCAGGTTTGCATTTCCAACCCCCATGTTGCCAAAGATCAAGGGGCTTCAGAATGCATGTCTCATCACATGAAAAGTCCGGTGCAATCGTGCTTCTGTACTTTCTTGACCCATGTTTTGATAGCCGAAGAGGCCTCAGGAAGAAGTCAAAGCGCAAGTCCCAAACTTGTGGAATATTCAATGCGCGCTGAAACTCATGGACGGCTTACCCCCGCCCCCCCGCTATACCCCCCCCTTCCCCCCCATCGAGCGGCTAGTGTGCTCTTAGCAAGCACTCAACAAGCCCTCGACACGCAGCACGGCCTCAGCAGCTGCTCGAGCAATCGAGCATCTGCCGAGAGCCTACCAAAAGCCTACTGAGCGCGTAGCGGGCGCTTAGCGAGCGCTTAGCGAGTGCTTAGCGAGTGCTTAGCAAGTGCTTGGCAAGTGCTTAGCGAGTGCTTAGCAAGTGCTTAGCAAGAAATGCACTAGAAGTCTCCCGATTCAGGAAAGCAAGCATCCATGCTCACTAAGAGCTTTGTGGGGGGAGGGGGGGGTATAGGAGGGGGGGGGGTAAGCTGTCCAGGAGAAACAAAACCTGTCATACTTTGCTAATCTTCCCGCTGCACGAATAGGCGTGCTAGACAGGCATTCGCAGTAGGGGATGAGAGAGAAACATCATGACTCAGGAAATGGTTGCTTCTGGCACACCCAATACGACACTGTCGTGGTCGAGCAAGATCCAACTGGTCCGTTCAGCGGCCGGAACATGAGCGAGGTTACGAGCCTGATTGGCTATGCTGGCGGTCGCCCCCTGGCAGACAGTGCAAGGCCTCTCCCCTTTGGATCTTTTGCGAACGCAGGAAGGGCACTGCAGCTTTTTGCATGAACCTCTTGGGTGCACCTGCGACAACGTGCCCTCAGGTTACCAAAGTGCTGGGGGAGCAGTTTGCTATCATGGTTTGCCGGCCACGGACTATAGCCGATTAGGCGTTTCGTATGCAGTTTCGGTTTCCAAAAGGTTCCCAAAAGGCACCCTTGTCAGGCCATGCTGAAGCAGTTTCAATTATGTTGGATGAGATCACTGGACCCGTGGCCAGAGCTCAGGCGTCGACGATATCAGTCTATATATACATATGTTGCATATGTTTCTTTTTTATGTGCAAAATGTATATGCATGCATGCAGGGCTGGCGCCAACACATGAATCGACCCATGGCGCAGGTAGCAGCTCTGGCAAAAATGTACTTCGAGCATGGCTTCCAGTCATTGCCAGATGGACGAAGGCATGGTCGCTGCAGCATAGAAGGAATCATGTTCTCAGTCCGGTCCTGCAGAAAGATCAGGGGGGTCCAGCTTGGGCTTGTGCAAATTGGCGGCGTCCCTCACCTGGCTTCGGTGCACTCTCAGGGCACTTATATTAATCGCCCTGAAGCAGCAGGATCAAAAAATCGCCCAAAAGCAGCTCTTGTATGTATAGCCCATACGGCGCCAGGCGGGCTGTATCCAGAACATGCGCGGGTGAGTTGACGTGATGCACTTCCAACTACTTCCAAGCCCAAAATGTGGATTTGCTTGGCTACCGCCTCTCCTGCACGTGGCTGTTTGTTTTACGTTTCGGGCCTGCTCTTCGATCATCCCCACCCTTGCGGTTCCGCGTAGTCCCCTGTACATGCTTGTTTGCACTTGTCCAGGACCCTTGTACTAGGATCTGGAGCCCCCCCAGGCCTGGAAAACGTGTACTAGGACCTGTGTCCTTTCAGGAGCCTCCCAGGCATGTCAGCGGCGAAAACGTGCTTAGGACAATGTGCTAGGATCTGGCGGCTGTAAGGGAAGTGATTCGGCCACCCTAGCGGCCCTAGCAGATTCTCGTAGATTAGCCGCTTACGGCTTGCCTTCTCCAGCCATGCCTGCTGAGCCCCTGAGCCCGAATCTTCTCAGCACACTCACTAGCTTTCGTTTTTGTCCGTCCCCCCAAGTCTGAGCATAAAGGCGGCAGCATAGCTTGGTTGACTTCACATGGCGAGGCAGCGATTGGATCCGCAAGATGTGGGCGCTGAGTACCGCAATGTTTCTTGGCGTCCTTGGGTACCAGACGAAGTTTAAGGCATGAGCAAGTTGTCTGCGTCTTTGCAGATGCCATTGCCACAGTACTTGGTAGGTACTTGTCCACGAAACTTCACAGTTTGACGATACTTCAAATTTCGTCAGTGCAATGTAAGTTTCTGCAGCACCGCGGTGTTAATTACCCCTTGCGCTTAGTTTGCTGCCCCATACACATACAGATCGCACAATATCGCACAGGATTTCTCTGGCAGTAGTATTTGAGCTGCTGCTCCCAAGCAAAGAGCGCGTCATTCAAGGAAGAGTGCATTCTGAGAGCATCTGATTTCTATGACTTTTCTGCGTCGTGTAGACCACATTACAGCACACTGCAATTATTAAGATACTTGCTAGTACTACTACAGTTGCTATTACCCGTACTCTCTCTATTGCTATTGCTCTTGCTCTTGCCCTTGCTCTTGTTGTTGCTTTCAGTGTTGCCGTGACTGTGACTAAGACTAAGACTATGACGACGACCTTGTATTTGTTGTTGGTTTCCGCTATTTGTTTTTACTGTCAGTACTGCTGCTGCTCATGATCCTGCTCTTGCCACTGCTGATATTGCTACTGATCCTACTGCTGTTGCTGCGATTATTGTGACTTGTTAAGCGTGTAAATATGTTCATATTTTGCTGCTGCCAATACTTCTTGTTTTGCAAGTCTTAAATCTGCTGCTGATACGGTTTTTACCATCACTATGATACTGCCGGACTAGTACTGCTACCTGCTATGGATATCTTATGACTATTCTGATTATGATTTATGATCATTGATGATCTTAGTATTGTTAGTACGACAATCATGAATTCGGGTTGCTATTGCTGCTCTCTTAGTACTAAACATCATGATTAATTCCTTAACGCTACGCGACCCGCCTCGGCCCGGCCCAGCGCATCGCTGTGGGGGGAGATTGGGAGGGGGGGGGGTGGGGGGGCTGGGGGGGGGGGTCTGGTAGGGTCAACCGAGGGGGGGGGCTTCAACTGCCTCTGGTCCTGGCGAGTCCGCTTGCGGACCCCGGTTTCCTCGGGGGGGTACCCATTTGAGGCAAAAAAAAGGGGTTTTGGGGAGGATTTGGAGGGTGCCTGTTCTCACAACCTATGCACCTTCGCCCCGAGGCCTCGGCGGATATATTGTACCTGGTATTATTGTTGTTACAATTATGACGGTCATCATCTTATTGGCTTACCATGTTTTTGTATTTGCATGCTATTGCTATTGCTATTGCTATTGCTATTGCTTTTGCTATTGCTATTGCTATTGCTATTGCTATTGCTATTGCTGCGGATACTGATCCGGCGACTGCTAAAGCTACTGCTACGGCCACGTAAGGTGATTGGGCTGCCCGGCGGCATGGATAACTCCGAACTGTGGCCGCTCTTTGAGGAGCCATGAGCTTGTGCCTGGAAGCATTTCCATATTGTGCGCAGTTGGCCAGGAAGCAAACGTCTACGGAATGCCGCTTCTTCGAGGAGCAGTAGGTGATTCTGAAGGTGGGATGCTTGTACTGCAGGAGGACTATGGGTTTCCAGATATCTGCCACCTTTCCTAGGATGTGCCGCTTCGTTTTACTGCGCTATACTTCGCTTTCGTTCGATGGCAAATTTCCAAATTTTCTTGGACAGTGCGGAGAGACTGCTTCGGCGCTCGTTTCGACATGGGCCAAGTTCAGGACTTGACAGTGCTGCACAGCTGTCACGAGCATCACTGCTTGCTGCATGGTGTTCTTTGATGCTTTGTTTTGGCGAGAACTCGACTTTTGCCAGGTGAATATGTCGTGTACGTGTATGACTCCACGCAGTACCCCTTTTTCCGTGGGGAAGCGTACCATCAGCTGGATGCCCAGTTGTTCCGATGGTTCTGGAACGACAGCTTTGGAGCTGAAAGCCGGGAAGGTTGTTGTGGCACTTGCTGCAGCTTAGGTTTCATCCCAACAATGTGATACAGAGACCAGTTCCTTTGTCCTATACTTCCACATTGAAGACTGTGCAGGTTCCACTCGCATCGGGCACCTCACTTCAGGATTCGGATTGCTGTGTGAAGAAGTTTCGAAATGAACAGGAGAACTTGGGACGGCTGGATGATTCCGACAGGCCACTGTTTCGTGTTCCCGAAAGATGCAAGGAAGCTGCTGCCTGACAGGGGCTGCCCTGAACTTCCGTTTGCTGAGATCGTTTTCTTGATAGTGCCGCAGCCCTGGGGATGTGGTCATTTGTGGCCAATCGTGAGTTGCTTTCTGCAGAAGATTGCGCACTACGGGTACCACTTTGCACATCTTTGCGCAGCATCTCCTGAGGCTGGTGTTTTCTATGATGCTCTCCGCTGGACTTCTGAGACTCGCCAGCAAGGAAACTAAGGAAACGTGCTTGCACCACGTTGCACCACGCTGCACCACGTTTCGCCACGTTGCGATGCATGGTTCCAGGATTACATATGAGAAGAATTATCATCATCACCATCAGAATCATTCTTCAAAACAGCCTACGCACTTTACATGTAGCAGTTTTTTCTGCCCTTTCCATACATTGTGCAAAGCATGCTGAAGCAATGTGTTCGGGCTTCATGAAGTGCTTTTCGCCATCCAATGGACAAGTCATACAAGGGGTCTTTGCAGTCTTTTCTTGCGTTCGTTTCATGAACGACAGTTCTAGTCTGGGTCGTTTCATGTTTAATAGCATCTTCGGCTAGCAGTCCTCAGCAGAGAAGAGGCTGTTCAAGTAACGGTCCCTTCAGTCTCTCTCTCGCTCTCTCTCTGTCTCTCTCTCTCTCTGTCTCTGTCTCTCTCTTCACTCCTCTCTGGCCTTCAGCCCATCATCATCATCACCACCATCATCATCTTCATCATCATCCGCATCATCAACAGGAGCGGCGGCAGTGGCGTTGCCACAAACACCACTATCACCACAACCACCATCATCACCATCGTCACCATCATCATCACGTCATCATCATGATGATGATCATCATCATCAACATCAAGATCCGGATCATCATTGTCCGGCAAGGTTTCTATACAGAACGCTGGCAGAGCCGGAAGCTGTCTGCTCTATACGCCATTTTCGCTCGAGCAGTGCTGCAGCGTGCCCTGGTTGCATGATGAGTCAGCTCTGGTTCCACCTCCTGGCATCAGCTTGTGAAATCCCAGTCTTCTGTGACTTCAAGCCGCTTCATGCTGTTTCAAGCCTAAGGTAGTTCGAGACCCTTGCTTCCAAAGGAATTTTTGGGGCCTTTGCTGACCATGTACAGCAGCAGTGTTTGCAGAGTTCGGGCTTACTTGAATAGGCCTGAATAGGCGAGGTCCGCCTCGAAACCAGAAGCAGGCATTGAAGCAAAAAAGGTGCGCGCGTGCCATAAGTGTGGGCGTGTCCTTTAGCAGCCACATGCAAATGTTCTGAAGTCACTGAAGTCTGGAGGCACTCCAACTATGGCAACGGTTACTCTGGTTACTCTGGCTACTCTGGCTACTCTGGCTACTCTGGTATCTCCAATGTGTACTCTCGGGCCGGGCTCCCAGCTGACAGCATTTCCGCACTTCGACACTTTCCCAAAGTCCGGCAGGAGGGATTTTTTTTTTTTGGGGGGGGGTGGGGGGGATTTGAGACTGGGATTCGAGAAATATCGAAAGGACGACGACGGTCCTGGCACGACACTGGAAGAACTGCTCAGAAACTACTCCAGGCCACCGGGAAATTGAAATCCACTTTTCTCAATGACTTGAGTTTTGTGCTCCATGGTGTGCAGGGCAGAGCAGATCGAAGGCTACAAATGTGAGAAGTGTAGAAAGCAACGATCCCAGTTGTGCAGTTCTGTTGCACTTTTTCACTTGGACTATGAGAACTTGTGATTATTTGAGATAGTTACAGAGCTTCTGATGTCGAGGACGGGCTGCGTGCGAAGTGCATACATCAAACGTCCGCCGAACAATCTTGTGGTCTATATCGATCGCCGACAGGAGAAAGTAAGTATGGAGCGTGCAAATTTGTGCAGCCCAGAGCCCAGAGCCAAGAGCACCAACTCAGAGCCTTGAGAGGATGCCAGCCGTTTTGGCAAGATCAACCGTGCTGTTCAGCGCGGAGCTAAGAGCCGGGGTGATACAGAATGGCTGAAGTGGATGTTCCAATAATTCAGGGAAATGTCTTCTCGCCTCCGATGTTCGCCCCACTTTGCAACGGCCCCTGCATTAGGAACACTTGCAGCAGATGGCTCTCATGTCCACAGTTGGGCCTTGTGTGTCTGTCATCCCACACGCTCTGAACGCAACCACAGATCTTTCTGCCGATCCAGATGAATTCGGCCAGCACGACCAAAACGCATTTCTCGAACTTCAACAGGTTCCCTCAGGAGCTTGATGCTTCGCCTTTCCTGGAGGCCATGTTGCCGTGATTCATGCGTGCCATGCAATGTGCCTGTCATTTGGCTATGTCTTGTCAGCATATCAACAAGGCTGCCATCGTGAGTTGACACATGAAGCGTCAAAAATGTGCTTTCGGCACTTCCTGAGGAGTCCCGCTCAGCAAGCTACCAGCTTTATGGGATAGTTGTGCCCTGATGCCAGCGGAATATGGGCGATATCTTGATAGATGAGGGCATCGCAAGCATGATTGAACGCCGCAGGTACACCAAGATTTCAATCGGTCAACTTTCTTTGGACACTACATTGCCTTCGTGCTCTCCTCAGAGCGTGTCGCGTTTGGTTGTGCTGGCACGACGCAGAAAACATGCTTGCAACATGCTTGCAACATGCTTGCATAGTTGTCAGGTCAGAAGTGCGAAAGGGGGTAAGTGTTGTGCTCAAAGGGGTGATAATGTGACTCGCGTGCTCGTCGTTTGTTTAGAAGTTTTGTTCGCTGGAACAGGTGGCATCGGATGGACGACGACCAGGTGTGCGAAGTGCCCTGGTCCGTTGTCAAGGAGGGAACGCTGGATCTTGGCTTGGCGCCTCACGGATGATGTGAAGACATGTAGTCCTTGCAGACGTCAGGAGCAGCGGGCCAACCTCCTCTTCTATGCTGCACAATCGGCACCTCGGGCATAATATCGCGTAATGCTATATTCATTTCCACGTCCAATTCGCTGCTGCCGAGGTTTCTTTGCCGCCGTGCGAAGATGGTACGAACGGTACAAACGCTGTAAGGCAAGGCCGTCGAACGTCGAACCCAATTACGCGCACTTAACACATAGACCATAGATGACAGGTAGATGATGCGCCGGCACTCTCGACAACACTTGTCCTTGAACTTGCCCTGCTTTGAATTTTTCTGGGTCAGGCCATCACCGTTGGGCTGGGCTCAGGACAAGCCATCACCGAGGCTCACCCATGCAGTTTGCATGCACACTCATGCACAGTGTTGCAGTTCAAGAATCTTGCAGAATGTTGCAGAATTTTGCACCTCCGAGTCTGGTGGCTTGGTGTTGCTCAGAGGCCAGTCGAACAGGAGCGCACTACCGATGTGGTGAGACCTCGACCTCTCCAACAGATCCAACAAGATGCCAGGCGAATCCAACATGTCTGTGCAGTCCATACCATGTTCAGTTCAGCAATTCAGCAAGCAACTGCATGAAACCCACTTCACCGAGCAGCGCGACAAAAAAACACCGAACAGGAAAACAGATCCGAAAGAAACACAGGAATACAAAGTCCTGGCTCCGCCACGTGCCATAGTGGGTGAGGAGTCCGTGTTCCGACGAAAAGAAGGTGACGAATGAGGCTGCGTTGCCGCATGGCGCTGCAACATACAGAGTGCAGTGGCACGACCATGGTTGCCTCATGTGACACATGCTGGTTCGAATGTTCGCATGCTCACGACTATCAGCGATTGTAGCCATCTACATCAGCTTAGCAGTCGTTCATGTTTTTGGGTACCACGGTCCCTATGCAACCCAACAGGAAGCCCTTGCATCCCTTAGGAAATTGACGCGCCAAACTCTCTGAAGCATGTAGAGTTCTGGCTATGGCGACTACCGCTGCGACTGCACAAGATGATGTTGACACTTCACAGGAGCTCCAGCTGCTCATGGTGAGGGTTGGTGGGGGGTGGGGCCGGTGGGGATGGTGGCAGTGGTTCTTGTATGTTCTTGTTGGGGTTTTTTTTGGTTGATGGGTTGTTGTGGTTTTTTGTGGTTTGAGATGGTGTGAGTGTTGGAGTTGAACAAGGGCCTCTTGGCCCCCTCCACCCCAGCGAGAAGCGCGAGTTCGCTTACGATTTTACTCCTTTGAACATACGGAATAGCGCAGTCCGACATGAACGGTCGTGGTTGCATTTGTGAATGGTTGTGGTTGTCTGTTGATGTCGATCTTGTCGCACCCTTTTGGGGATTGGTGCTGTTCTTTGTTATGCACTTTTGTTCCAGGCACTTGGGGGTCAGCAAGTGCCTGAATCTTTCGGCGTGCGACCAGATGGCTGTCGACAAGCTTCCACCACAAAAAAAAAAAACTCGTCTTACGTGCGCCTTCCGCGTAGCTTACACGGAACTTGCGCTCATGTCCAGCTCAGTACGTAATTCCCGGTACATTCGGTATTTGGTTGTGCAGTGTATGTCGGGGACGATGTGAGTGGTCAGCAAGATTTCCCAGCAGTTTTTAGGTCATGTTGAGTTCTTTTGTCTCAGCAGGCTTGTTCTGGGCTTGGTTCAGTTGTTTGGTGTTGTTTTGTCGTTGAGTGGCTGCTGGTTCAGGTTGCCAGCTGATAAGATCTGAGAAGTATGTATCAGCCATTTCACCTCTGCGATGTAAGTTGTGCATCTTGCCCGCAGGTGGATCGCATGCAGTGTGTCGAGTGAGCGCGGGGGGTATCTTATTGGTGATGTTTTTTTGGATTTTGACCTGCCACGGGGCCGTGCTAATTACCACTTGGAAGGACATTGCCGAGACGCGTAAGTTGCTGGAGCTGGCCGCGCAGCTTGCCTCCAGTGAAAGTGTCCTGTAGGCTCTTCTTTGAGCGTTGCTTGCCCTCGCTTTGCGATACTCTTTGCGATCCTTGCAATTGGACACCAGACCAGGCAACGGTGTTCGGAGCTTCGATCTGCAGTGGAGTCCGCAAAGGCTTCGCATGGCAGATGCGTCGTGAAAGTTGACTGGTGGTAACGGTTTTCCGAAGTCAAGGCTCCTGCAACTGTTGGATCCGGATGGATCCGGTTCAAGTGCACAGTCATGGGGGCGTGACTGGGTTTGGCTCATCTCGGCGTTTTTGTAGCGCAACATCTGAGTTCAGTACCCAGAGCATGATAACAGCTGCTGTGGCACTTGTTCTTGCACATGTGAAGTTTGGAAGCACCGCAATGTTCGGTAGCATGTAACCGCCACAGCCAGCGATCAAACGTCCAGTTGGCGTAGTCGACTTTCGACTTGAGACCTGTCGTGGCAGGCCCAGCACGGCTGCTGCCCCAGATGCAGTTGTGATTGAGCAATGTGCAGAAGTTGTCCTCTGGGAGGTTATTCACCTGAGAACGGATCTGAGGTGAGGCATATTGGGGCATCAAATGTCAAGCCGTTGCAGTTGGCACCCATGGCAGGTGAGATGGTCGACTCCCTGTGTTCCAACACAGTACATCTCGCCCGGAGGACGGGTGGGCTGCGCGCTGAGCACTGATGCGGTGATGCGGCATCCGCCTTGGGTTCAGGACCCAATCTACGGGCTGTCCGATTCTCCTCTGCCCCGCTGGCTGCGCCGCTAACCGCATTGTCGCCATCGCCCGTGCAGGCCAGGCGATTTTTCGAGGAGACGTCGAAATGTCGAAGCCGGGCTATGGGATTCATGGGTTGGCATGCACGGGCACCTTACGCCCGCAGCAGTATGGGAGGTAATTCCAGGAACTGAGAAGTATTTCTGGCTCGGCCCTTAGTACGAAGATTCTAGACCTCAGCCATGTGAACATCGGGCCTGATGGGAGGCAGGGGAGTGGCATCAAGGTTGACTTATCAGGACTTATCATGACTGCATTGTAGAAGCAAAGGCCGGGTATAGCGCCTGCTGCGCAGCCTGCAACGCCCTGTGAACATCAGTGATATCATGGTGTCCTGCATGAGACATCGTCAGAACTCTCGTGAGTTGTGGTGAAGACCCCTGAACGCCACAGCTTTCCACAGGTCAGCTGCCTCCATCGGCCACCAGTCTCGCTCCAGCCGCATGTTGCGCAGGCTGCTTGGCAGCTGCTTCGCGCCGATTTTGCAAAGTATTGCAATATCTCTCAGGCTTTCAGCACATCACCCACGACAGCCCACAGACAAGTTCATGTGCGAACCTTTGACTATTCTGGACTCACGGTACAAACCTGTTCTTCCGATTGGATCTAGTGGATGCAGTGGATTTTGGAGCCCTGGCCTACCCAAGATGTCTGCAACACCAACTTCGTCTGATCCCCGATTGCTAGCACAATCTTCACAGTGCGACCGCGAAATGCTGCGAATGTATGCTAACGCCTTTCAAACCAGATGAAGGTTCAGTGCTTTGCTTCCTGGTGCCCACGTGTTCCGGTCGACCACCACCGTGGCTTGACTGAAAGCTTACAGCCTTTAGAGCCCGTGCAAAAGGGGGATAAAGGGGGGGGATGACAATTGGAAGCAAGACGTGTTCCAAACGTTTGCCCGGACATGTCTGGGAGACACGCGTGTTCCAAGAGGCCTTGTGTAGCTGCATGACAACGCGATGAATTCGGCGATGTGGCAAGAACCACATGGTTCAGAGAGGAAGTTTAGGACAGGGAGTTGTTGCGCTTTTACATGTTTCAACCTTCTATAAACCCAAAACACCCGAAGCCCTCAAGCTGAAATCCGAAACCCGGAACCCTTAAGCTGAAACCTTAAAACGCTCAACCGGCAACAGGGGGCGCAACTAAACTTCCTTTCTAAACCATGCCGCATCGCCGAATTCTTCGCGCCTGCCAGCTGTTCCTCTGTTTGTCATGCAGTTACACATATATCGCAGATAGGTCCGGGCAAACGTTTGTAACATGTCCTGGACTCAGAGTGCAAGGTTGGGCAGAGATCGGTGCAGCGAGCGACTGCCTCGAGAAGGAAGGCTGTTGTTGTGAGGGTTGTGCGAGCGATTGCGCGTCTCGGCCTCCAGATCGTGGCATTAGCGAAGCATGCTGGGGACATGTTGCCGATCAGGTCGATGCCGTGGGCGTCAGGCCAGCAGCCAAGCAGGCCGCAGAAGCAGCCGGACAAGAAACCAGCACCAGTGCAAGGCCCTTAGTGCAAGCATGGATTGTTTAATCCTCAGTCTTTGTCATGCCATGCTATGCCATTGCAAGACTTAAGGAACAGATTCAGAGCGCTCCGACGGGTACAGTCAGGTCGCATGCCGGATTACATATACACATATATGCACGATCTGAACACGTCTGTGCCCTGCTCATCACTGCTCGGCTCGTCGCCGTGTCATTTCCATCCATGTTTGCCAGGCCGACTCTTGACCTAATGCCCGAAGCACAGAGTAAAGTGCAGGACTCTCCAGGCCATGGCTTGTAAGCCTCTCTTATCCATTGAGGCTCTCCGGAACACGATGTGCAAAGTGCCGAGTCTACCTGTACCAGGCTGATGGAGAACAGTCAAGAAGTGCATGCTTTTGCTAAAAGGCTGGACGAAGTGCCCTTGCACATCCTTGCGTACCCGCATCTGTTAGAGTTGAGCTCTGTTATCGTCCTGTCATTTTGCCATAATTCCTCTTGATGGCGGCTCTCGTCACATAGTGACAAAACATGCGCGTGAATGGAAACGAACTCATCTTGTCATGTGGGGTCAGCCAAATTGCTGCAACAGGCGCCCTTTTCACCAGCGGTCCGCTATGTTGATGGGGAGGAGCTCTTCGCAGTGCCTGCCGAACCGGCTCCGTTGATCTGCACTGGAAGCCTTTGTAAAGGTTCTTCAGACTCTACTCAGGCTGGTTGGGCAGTTCTGCGCACTCGAGCAGGTCTTCTTCTTTGGATGCTTGGCAAAGCAATAAGTATTGGACTATTGCTAGTGACTGGCAGTGACGGCAGCGCGGCAAAATGTTGCTCCGAGGCTGGAGCTCAGTGACGACACTCGTCTCTTGGAGGCTCTGAAGGCCGCAGCAACAATGAATATGCAACACTTAACATTTCATGTTCAACATGCGGTCTGATGTGTTGCGATGGGTTTCGGGATGTGAAGGCTTCAGGGTGCTTAACGTGTCTGCGCTGTGCTATGCTGTGCTGCGCTGCCCTGGGCTGCGCTGGGCTGCGCTGTGCTGTGCTGTGCCCCGCTGGGCTGCGCTTGGCCGTGGTAGCCGCTGCTAGGATACGCCAGGCTAGCTTGTGATTTTTGTAAACGCCGCGGCACGCCGGGCCGGCCCAGGGCGTAGGCGCCCTCTCGGAGGGTCCCATCCCACAATGACGTTCCGGGGGGGGGGAGGCAGGGGGGGGGGCAGGGGGGGGGGGGGGGAGGGGCGAATCTGGGGTCTCACACGGGGGGGGGTGGTCAGTTGGGGTTAGGGGGAAGGAGACCGGATCCAGGTTCCAGATGCTTCTCTGCAGAAGCCGAGGCGAACTTGAAATTATTTTTGTTTCATCCTATTGCCAGGCCGCGGAGAAACCGCAGGCTCCCGAAGGTTGGACAAGTATTGCTGGAAGTATTGCTAGTGGGTGACCATTGCATCAGTGTGTTTCGGTACTTCCCTCAGTTTTGATTCAGCGAAGCATGCTATTTGCAGTTTGCTTTGCCATCGGAGGTCGTCAGGGGGCGACTGCAAGTCGGAGTTCCTCGAAGGACATTGACGATTGTTAGCCAAACGTGCGCGCATGTGTGTGTGTGTGTGTGTGTGACTTGTGCATCTCCAACTATCATGGTCAAGAAGTGTGTAAGTACACAGGTTCGGGCAGATCCCTGATGCTTCTGCAGGATCGTGTCCCGAGAGGGAGGTGCCGGTCAGGGAGATTCAGCACACAGGGCCTCGGGATGACGGCATTGCGGTTAGGATGGGAAATGTAAGCGCTTGCGCGCGCTAGCCGCGCCGGCCCAACGCGGGGTGGACCGTGCGCATCGCAAATTGGGGAATGCCAAAATCAAATGTCCGTTGGTGCAGCGCCATACGCGTCATGAGTTCAGGACAGGTTTAGGGCGGTCGCAGGAGAAGAGGGGTGCACGGGGGGAGTGTCCTTCAAGCAGTTCGAGGGAGGCGGGCTGCTTGCTCCAGATGCCCCTGGGCCGGAGGCCGAGGCGAATCGACTGCTGTAATGTGGATTGTTTGGTACTGTTTTGCCAGGAAGTCCATGTCTCCAAGTGCCTCTCGGCGCTTGTTGCCACTTGTGGGGCGCCGAGAGGGAGCCAATTAGCCTGTTTGAAATGAGGGATTTGGAGGAAAGTTTAGCGGAGCTTTCCGAGGCTTTCACTGTATCACTCGTAGAGTTGCACAGCGAGGGGGCCTCGCACCAGGCTTTGCCCATCTTTGCTCTTTTGATCTCGCTTTGTCTCTCTTGGCCCTCTGAACCTGGGCTCGACAATGCTCGACACTTACATACACACTTACAGCCTTACAGCTCTCTTGCCAGTTGGCTGTGCGGTCTCGGGGTTGCTGCGCGATAGACTCGCTGGTTTCTGTGCCGTGATCCCGGCTGAAGATTGCTCTGCTGCGACTGTCTGCCACTCGAGCAATAAACAGGTGTGTGCTCTTTGGCTCTTTGCGGGTATTCTGGTTTGCATTCTGGTTTCTGGGTATTCGGTCTTTCAAAGCTTCTGGCAGCAGCTCCGTGATCTTGTTTGCCAGGTGTGAGGACGTGATGGCGCGATGCTTACGTCAGACCTCGATTCTGTATTTCACGACGAATCTTGATGTGCGACTGTCTCTGTCCTACATGAGAGTTACCTGACAGCTTCTGTTCTTGATGCCTCTGTTTGGGATGACGAGGTGCTTCAGCCACAGGGAGGCAAGCCATGCTGAGTTTAGACTTTTCAGTGCAGGCGTGCCGAGTAATGTTGCACCCTGCTTAATGTGCCCGCTGGAAACTTAGGACCCCCCCCCCCCCCCAAACCTTGGATTAGAAGTTCTGGCTCAGTTGGGATTCCGGGTTTTCGGGGTCAAAGAAGGAAGACCTGCCATTAAGGTTCTCAGGCGCGGCCTTTTAAAGCCGAAGCCTAAAGGCCAGTGAACAAATCCTAAATCCTAAACCCTTAGCAAGAACGGATCCCGTGAACAACTTGGCCCTCCATAGAGGACCCCACCCTGAACCCGTCACAGGGTCCTGAAATGTCCTGAATAACCCGACAAAGTTGACTTTATCGAGGGCCCCTACAAAACAGGGTGCAACGTTAGCCACTACTCGTAGCCATCACTCGCCGCCATTTCCAGGCGGCGGAAGGGGAATACGCGCCTCGCTGTCGATGCTGTCCGAAGGCTCGCTGCTCAACAGAAGATCAGCTTTGCTTTCGTGAAATGGTGTAATGAAGGTTCATCTTGGTGCGGTACAGCTGGGATCAGGGGTGCATCAGCAGGAGGCAAAGCATTCCGTCACAGGTTGAGCCCAAAAAGGGGTTGCGGAAAACCCGTAAATCTAGTACTTTCTTAGAGAAGTTGGTTTCTCCTTAACGTCATGTTCCAGCCAGAAACGTCAAGCTTCCCTTTGCGTGTTGTGCAAAGCGGCAGGAACGTTGTAAATACCAGTGTTTTTGGGCAGGTCGCCCTAGGAAAGGACGTTATCATCCCCCCCACAACAGAAAGCATAGGAAAGAGGCCCGACAGGCAGGTTCATGCCGGTGGCCTAGAGCTCGCCACCAACTAGTAGCATGAGAATTGGAAGTGTAGGCGCAAGCTAGTCTTGGGATTCGAGCTTCTCCTTTGCGGATACATATTCCTGGCAATTCTTGGTGCAAAATGTCATGGCCTTTACGAGCATCGTGTCCACGGCTGTTCCAAAGCTGCATGAGGCATTGCAAAAACATCCGTTGACGCAGCGTTCAAGGCGCTTTGAGGGCTCCTTGCTTGAACGTGCTGAGAGCGGATGAGAGCGGATGAGAGCGATCGCAAAGGCGTGGCTGAGCTCATGGAGCTCCCAGATGTGACTGGCGCTTGTGTCACCATGCCTCGAGCAAAATCAAAGCCATGCACACATCTGAGTGGTCGCAGGTCGTACTGATTCGTACTGCCTTGTGATCTCAACCTGAGCACGTAACTCAGCAGCTGTGGCAGGCTGCCGATGCAAAGACTTCAGGCCTTCTCCTCTGAGTTTAAGGGGATATACCTTATTCTTGCCACCACGCTACTATGATGCTGCATCGATAAGGTGGCTTTTTTGATTTCGACGAGTTGGAAGAGAAAGAGATGGCCCAGCGAGCGCTGAAGCAGGGTGCTCCAAGCTAGGACCATTTACTCAAATTAGCGCTGTAGCTATGTTAGCTTTGTGGGGGTTTCTCTACCGGAAAAACATAAACAAGCAAAGGGGTTTTTCTCCGAGACATGCTCATAGGTAAGCCGTGCGAGCTGAGTGGAAAATAGCTTCAAGGTCCCTGTTGCATGAGATTTGCTTTTGGCATGGACCTGCGCTCATGTCCCCCTGAAGAATGCCTGCCGAGAAAATCCGAAAGACACGCAGCTGTGTCCCTTTTCTGGCTAGGCGGAGGTAAAGAATCTCAGCAGAAGGCAACACCAAGCAAAGTCCAAGAAATACCCCAAGCAGTTGTGGCGTACGATGTGTTCCATGTGCTGTGCATAGTCGTCGCCCATGAGACCTGGAAGTCGGAGCGCCGGAGGCAGAGGGTATGCCAGCAATCATGTCAGGCGCTAATACATGTAAGTTGTAGTCGCATTCTAGTACATACTGTTTCATGGCATTGCAGTATTGTTGCTACTTCGTTGAAGTGTTCTAGATGCGGCTAGATCATCTTAAGCCAGCCGTGCAGGTGCGATCCGAGGATGGACCAGGGCGGCTTTATCTCCAGCTTGCTTAGCATGCTTCTTACACTGTATCCCGCGCCGAGCGCAGGGCCGCTGATAGCTTCAAGGTAAACCTCTCGAATCGCACCTTCTCCGCGTTGACAAGGTCCTGCTCTCTGTCGTTGACACCCGGCTTTTTGCCGGACCCAAAGCTTGTAGTGACTTGTAAAGCTCATGATGTCAGATGAGGTGCAGGCAAGTCTGAAGTCCACGTGTGTGTCGTGGTCCATGTGGTTGCTGAGATTGTGGGGATTGTCATTGTTGCTGTCGTGGCTGGTGCTGTTGTGGTTGTGGTTTCGCTTTTGGCTTCAGGAGTGTTGGGCTGTTGACGGCATCAAAGCAAGGTTGATCTTCACACCACGCATTTGCATGTGCTGTCAACCATGTCAACCACCAGCGATGAGCCTGAGCGCAATTCTTAGCTGCTAGCTAGAACGCAGCGAAAAAATCTTGTTCGCGCAACAACGAAATCCTGGAAACCAGTAGTCCTTGATGTTGGCTTTTCAACACTTTGCAACTGATGTGTGAGGCACTCATAGGATGGCGTGATGCTGTTCAAGAAGTTGCTCCTGGAAGCAGGACCGCATTGTCTGCGAGCAACCCTGCAGTGTCCATGGAGTTGTTTTGGTTACGTGTGTCTTACTTTATGGAGAAGAGGATCTGTGTTTGGAGTGACAACATTTATGAACCACTTTGATGCAGTCTAGGGTTTACGTTGCGTCAGATTGCTTGTCGATGATATTCGATACCGTTTGCCATGTTGGCAAAAGTGTCGAACCGTTTTTGAGTATAAATCAAAGCCCGTGTACTTGAAAGCCCGGATAATCCCGCTTTGACTTTGACTTTCATCCTTATGGCTCGGATGCGAGCCAATTCCTGGTATCCCTCGTGGCTGGTGGCTGGTGGCCATCGACAGGAACGATGCAGTCTTCCCCAAGCTCATATTGGACAACCCACAAGGCAGCGATCATCAAGATGCTGAGCCCTTGGAGGTACTTGATCAGCGTGTTTGCGCCGATCTTTTGCAGAATCAATGCTGCAAATTCAGGTGGCCTTGCCGCCACTTGTATTCCAACTTCATCAACGCGTAATGGACTCCTCAACCTTCTTTGTCAAAAGCTTCTCCAAAGCAACGTTGACCCAGACCGCCATGCGATCAGACCAAGTGCCAGTTTGCCAGTCCAAGTCAGCCATGGTTGCTCAGAAGTTGAGAAGGGTTCCTCAAGGTGCGTGCCATGCAATCTGGCCTTTTCAAGTGCTGGGTGGTTTTGTTGATGTCCGGCCTTTTGGGCACGAATTGGAGAAACAAAGCATAGCCGAACACGGGTTCACTACATACACTTCCCAAACAGACGGGTGCCCGGCAGGAAGTGCTGACAGCATTTCATTCATGAACCAAAAGGATGTCAGCTTCTTATGGAATGGACAAGTTGTCGTTTGTGCGGGCAGGAGAGCATCCAATTAGATGCATCTAGCAGGACAGCTCGCATGACTGCTTCGTCCTGTTTTTGGGACCACTTTCTCTCCTCGAGGGTTCGGTAACGCGGCAAACTTGCAAGTCGGCGCTCCGCGTGGGCTTGAGGGTACTGCTCTGGGTTTCTTCAGTGGAAATGGTTCTTCCTGTCCTTC